TACATAGTGCTAATTGTAAGTCCTTACAGAGACTCCCCGTAGACTTTTTTTTTTGCCACTACTTTATTGTTCTGTTGTTGAACTTAACATAGTGTTCGACACTCTTTTCTTTTATATTGTTATTATTCAGAATAGACGGCGATATTGCAACAAACCACCGACTGCAACAAATTGCGGCGGTAATTTCCATTAGTTATGTACAGCAGAAGGAAATAATTCCTACCTTTAATGTTAAATAGTACCCTGCATCAGCTAATGATAGTGATTATCCCTATGTACACTTCTGATCCCCTCTAAGCTCTTTGTAATCTGTATTTTAACAGTAGGAGTGATTGGTATCGTGATTAGAAAGGCTTTCCTTTCATACGCTAACCTATTAAGTTGTCCTTTTACCTACATTGATAGTTGCTGGTTTCACTGATCTATACAAAACGTCAGAGAAAGCAAGTACAACCAAGGATTAAAGTCAGAAATCTAATATGTTCTTTAACTGGGAATGAATCATTATAGTGTGAGAATAATTTTAGTAAACATCAACCAGTTTAATTTCAAAGTAACTGTCATGGCGCAGCATAATTATAAATAAAAAAAAAAAATCTAAGAATAACACAATAATTTATGGATCATATCTCTCAACTAAATTTGGGGGGGAAATGCCATTCACCAAGACATGTTAGTAAAGGAACATCATGTGCAAGATTTGACCTTTTCTTTATTGCATCATATAGATATTGCACTAAACTATGCAAAAGCCATAACTTAATATTGATTAAAACAACAAACAATTTAATAATTAATCATGTTTGTAGTTTCTAGCTGTTCTAGATCTGAAGTGAGATCTCATCATATTCTATAGTACCCTAGCAGAAAATCATGGCATCATGTACAGCTGTAATTTTCAAGCTAAGACAATGGTTTGTGAACAAACAATGGTGGACCTATGGAGAAATATTTAATCATTAGCAAAAAAAATACAAATAATAATAATGAATTCTAACTACGGTGTGTGGGCGTTTCAGGTGCACCTTAAAAGTTACAGGAAACATTTAAATAAAATAAATATTATTGAAGATTTCACAAGGAAGGTATGTATGGGTTAAAATATAAATAAAAAATATAAATAATTAATGATAACTTGAAATATAAAAGACTTACCGTAAAGCATAGCCCCCCAAATGTAATTTTTTTTTACCAGTGGTGGGCAGCAGTGGTTGACCGAGAGCACTGAGCTACCTCTCGGCCTTTTATTGCTGCTCAGTCTAATGCAGAAGCATCACTCTGAAAAAGCATAGAGTCAGGCTATGAGAATCTGGAAATCCTCATACAGTGATAAACCAATCAAGCACAGTTAAATTGGATGATGAAGTGCCTAGAGTATACTTTAAATGTAACATTGTACAAAATACAATGTTTTATCTATAAAATATGATTAACTTTCTATGACAGGCTTCTTTAACCAGGAATATCTTCTGCGTAACAGCAATGGCTGTGAATTCAATTAATCTACATAATATCACCAGGAAGTCTTTTAATGCAAGATGTTATTATTATTATTATTATCATTTATATAGCGCCAACAGATTCCGTAGCGCTTTACAATATTTTGAGAGGGGGGATGTAACAATAAATAGGACAATTACAAGAAAACTTACAGGAACAATAGGTTGAAGAGGACCCTGCTCAAATGAGCTTACAGACTATAGGAGGTGGGGTATTAGAAACATTAGGACAAGAAATATCAAGTAGGAGTGAAGCAGAGCTGGAGGAGAGAGCAAAGCACTGTCCCATAGGAGAGAGAGCAGGAGACAGGTATGTAAGGTAGAGATTACTCTGGGAGGCCATAAGCTTTCCTGAAGAGATGGATTTTAAGGCCCTTCTTAAATGATTGAAGACTAGGGGAGAGTCTGATGGCAGTAGGCAAGCTATTCCATAGGAGAGGAGACACCCACGAGAGGTCCTGCAAGCGCGAGTTGGCCGTACGGGTGCGAGCAGCGGTCAGGAGGTGGTCACGGGCAGAGCGGAGGGTACGAGGAGGGGCATATCTATGGATTAGTGAAGAGATATAAGTGGGGCTAGAATTGTTCAGTGCTTTAAGTCATGGCAAATTAAATGCTAGCAATTTAGGATGATAGCTAGAGTAAATTAAACACTGAAAGGGACACTATAGGTAGTGCTGTATTTAGTGCAAGGCTCACAAGGCATTTGCCTTGGGCGGTACTTTCAGGAAGGTGGCAAAAAAAGCCACACCACCAAACGCCCCGGCAGATGCCTTGTCAGGCTCATCTCCTGCGATGGGGGGCAAGAGCTGGCCAGCTGGCCACCTTGGTTCCCCCCGAGGCTGGCATCTGCACATATTGTAGGCAGACGGCGAGGGAGCACTCTGCCCTGAGCTCTCCCTGTTCAGCTCCCTCACGTGCACCACACTGATGTTGAAGCCGGAATATGATGTCACTCCAGCCCCAACATCACTAAGAGGCACGCGAGGGAGCTAAGCAGGGAGATCAGAGCTCACTCGCCGCTTACATTGACCGCCCACCCACCACTGAAAGGATCCCCACTGGACCCCAAGGAAATAGAGGATCCACTCCAGCACTCCTAAAGGTAGGGAAACTGGGCGGATTAAAATAAAAAATAAAATAGCGTGTGTGTCTGTTATTTAGTGTGTGCATATATCTGTTAGTGAATGTGTGTGTGTCAGTGAGAGTGTGTGTGTCAGTAAGAGTGTATGAGTGTCTGTCAGTGTGTGTGTCTGTCACTGAGAGTGTGTCTGTCAGTGTGTGTATGTGTGTCTGTAGTGTGTGTATGCGTCTGCCTGTGAGAGTGTATGTGTGTCTGTCAGTGAATGTGTATGTCTGTTAGCTAGTGTGTGTGTGTGTCTGTCAGTGAGTGTGTATGTGTCTGTCAATGAGTATATGTCTGTCTCAGTGTGTGTGTCTGTCTGTCAGTGAGTGTATGTGTGTGTGTATGTGTCTGTCAGTGAGTGAGTTTAACTGTGAATGAATGAGTGTGTATGTCTGTGAATGTGTATGTTTCAGTTAAAGTGTGTGTTGATTAAACAGTGTGTGTGATAATGACTGTGTATCTGTCAGTGAGTGCATGTCAGTGTATGCATCAGTGAGGGCATGTGTTTTTCACATGTCAAATGTCTTTTAATTACATTGCAGGTTTAAGATTGCCTTTAGTGGCTGTCAATCATCTGCATGAGGACATCCAGTGTCAAGTAATACCTCATAGGAAAGCATTGCAGCAATGCCTTTCCATGGGGAGGTCCTAATTAGCGCACCGCCATTGCGCTAATGGGTGCTGGGTCCCATTGGTGCTGGGATTGGGTAAGTACAATAAGGATTTTATTAACCCTTACAGTACGGGCATAGGAGGTCGCCGCCCAAGAGTAGTGGGTTACTTTTGTATCACACAGCCATGTTACAATGCTGTCGCCCACCCCATGTGTTCCCTATTAAGGGTTAGTAAGCATTTAGGGGTTAAGAAAAATACCCCTCTTTGTCTCATTAGAGATATCTTTGCCAGAAGCGCAAGGAAGCAAGATGAATAGTTAGTGTAGGACGGACCCACCTTAAAGGTTTGCTTTGATGTAGCAGGTGGTCATCCCTCTAATTGCCATTGGAGTAACTAACATTTGTGTAATAAGCATAGGGATGTGGGAAGAGCGCAAATAACTTTGTATTCCTAGCACTATAGTATCATTTAAACCCATTAAACCCATCAAACCCATTCAAACCCATTCAGTCTATTCTAATGTTCAATGTGAGGTATGCTTGTACTATAAAAGCAAATAAAGGTATAATTTTTCATGTTGCTTAGGTATTACTGTTATTTAATTCATTATTTGATAGTTAATAAATGTAAAGTTCTGAGTATCAATTTAAGCTCATCCAGTAGTGTTTCATGACCAGAGAACTACGAAGTAACAAGTAATAGCAACATTATTAAAAAGTAATTTTTTGTTTTGTCTACTTTGTCAAAACTTATCAATTTAATATAGCTCTGTCATAAATATGGTTATTCATTAAAATGGGAATTGTCAGGAATTCCAAGTGGATTCACAGTGATTTTCAAATTTTAGGCCAAAATAAATTATTGGACCAAGGGCAATATCTTCAGCTCAAATAAACACAGCCTCATGTGAATTATGTGGTGCTATTCGACAAATAGATGAAGCCAATCAGGCAGGACTTAAAGGAAAATTCTAACGTTATCAATTTAAAAACTTTAACGTTAATAGTAATAGTTGATTATATATCGACTGAAGAGGTGTAAATAGAAACCACAGGAAAGATTTATCTAATCCACAATAAAGTGGACGAGGTAAAAACTGGAAAAATGTAATTGGTATCCTGAGGTAAATGGGATCACAGTCCAATCTGCATTCACCAATGCATACACAAACCACATATATCCCCAAAGCAAGTGAAATTTACTAGCCGTGTAAGGCTACTCCTCTACCTAGTATAGATAATGGATAACCATTGGATTATCCAGACAGGTGCTTAAAATATTAATATACAAACTTTATTAATTAGACTTATTTGTAGCACTTACCTTTGTAGGTAAGTAGTACACTGGAAAATAAACCAGTGTACCAAGGTAGACAAGGGGTTAAACCATAGTATTAGTGTTAAAAAACAGGGATTAACTAGAGCAGGGGTAGGCAACCTTTTAGCAGCACTGTGCCGATATAGGATGGTGATGTCCTGTAGCGTGCCGATCCTATTTTTTTAAATTGAGGTGTGTATGCTGCCGTATTCTGCTTGTGTTATTTTTATTGCAGTTGCTTTGTATCGTTTTATTTGTGTGTATATGAGCTATTATATTGTATATGTTCATGAGTAGTTTATGGTATTGTGTATGATACATATGAATGTGGGCTGTGTATGAGGGCTGCTTGTGGAATTGTGTGTGGATGGATATGTCACATTGTGTGTTTGGTAGTGTGTGGGGGCTGTTTGGGGTATTGCATGTGAGAGGCTGCATATGGGGTTGTGTGCATGTATGTGGATTGTTAGCGGGTTACGTTTGTGCGGATTGTGTGTATGTTTGTGTGTGGGCTGTTCATATTATTTGTATGAGGGGAGGGTTATTCTGCATTTCTGTGTATATCTTGCAGTGTGTGTGGCTTCCCTGGGTTCCAGTGGGGACCAGGCTGGCCAGATACAGGTTTAAGGACAGGAGCTGCAACAGCAGCTGCGGGCTGCTCTACTACAGTGTGGATTCCCATTCACAAGTGCTGGGAGGAAGTGATCTGTGATCACTTCCTCTATGTACTGCAATGCTTAAATTGAGGATTGTCCTTCACCACCTCTTCGTATTAGCAGATATCTGAAGTTTTACTGGGACTCCTGATAGGCCAGAGCCTGTTTGGCTCTAGCAGCCTTGAGTGCCGTGCAAATACACCTTGAGTGCCGTGCATGGCACTAGTGCCGTAGGTTGCCTACCCCTGAACTAGAGGTTAAACCATAATTCTGTCCGTATAAAGCAACAAGTTAATAGTACCTTTGTTAGCCCTTGGTAGGTAAATAGTGCACTGGAAAAGTATACCAGTGTACCCAGGTAGACAAGGTGTTAAACCGTGGTCTAAGTGTTAAGTAACAGAGATTGACTAAAGGTTAGACCATAGTACTATCCAAGTGAAGCATGAATAAACATAGATTGGATAATAGAGTACTATAGTACATTTAGCTGTAACCTAAAATATCACCCCAAAAATAATAAATTACATTGTACAGGAAAGTGATATAGGAAATAGGTCAAGCATAAGACAGTAAAGTGTAGTGAAGCTTCTCTCACTGTTAAACTGACTGGATAGGTAGAGGAGTAAAAGAATAAAGGAGTGAAAAATAAAATAATAAACTAGTGAGAGTGAGGCATGTCTATAAATCATAGACATCCTACAGTGCATAGTGATAAGTGCCCTAAACACACTCCAAACAAAACACCCAACACGTGTTTTGGTGCAGTACAATGTGCACCTTTGTCAGGAGTAAAAAGACAAGAAACCACGATGCCCAGTGTGAAAATTGCCTTGGTCCCCCCAATGTACCTCACTCCCCCTAGCCCCTCCATATGTCTCATTCTCCACTCCAAAACCCCTTCATTTGTCTCATTTCCTCCCCGCACCCCCTTCATGTGTCACATTCTCTCTGTCCCTCCATATGTCTCATTTCCTCCCCCCCATGTGTTTCATTCCCTGCCCTCATTCTCCACTCATTAGTCTCATTCCATCCCCCCCAGATCCTCCATCCTCCATGTGTCTCATCCCCCCAGCCCCTCCATCTGTCTTATTCCCCCACCCCTTCATTTGTCTCATTCCCTTCCACCCCTTCATGGGTGTCATCCGCTCCCCCAGCCACTCCATGTGTCTCATTCCCTCCCTCCAGCCCCTCCATGTGCCTCAATCTCCCCCGCCCAATCCCTTTATGTGTCTTCTCCCTTCCCTCCTGTACCTGCTCACCACAGTACTCAGTCTGACAGGAAGTGCTTTTTTAGTGAGCACTTCCAGTCAGACCGCGCGTCCGCTTGGCCACGCTACACACAGTAAATGACAGGAGGGGAGAAGCACAGCAAACCATTCCCCTTCTGCCGGTAACCATGTGACCGCGCGTCCTGGGCCAGTGTGCCTGTGCAACAGCCCTGAAGGTATGCCAACAGCACACGTTTGCAGGGGTCAACATATGGACAGGCAATGCGTTTACGTTATGGTATCACAGAATTCTTGGTTTTTATTATGTGGTACAGCCACCTGAATATCAGTTACAATGTAAAAAATCAGCACAATATCATTTTGAGTATTGAGACTTGGGGGATTGCTGTTAAAGCATAATCTGACCATGGGTAAATGTAGTAAGTCTGTGTCAACTCTTCTTCTTCCCTCTCAGGGAGTGTGCTTCACGGTCCCTGTTCTCTGACTGCTTTTCGGAATGAGCGACTTTTTTTATCATCTTGAGATTTACGCTGTTTACTGAATAACAGCAGAGGCGGCTCTAGACTTTATGAGGCCTTAGGCGAAACTCAAACATGAAGCCCCACTAACAAAAAAGTGTCACATTGATGTATGTGTATGTGCCTGAGAGTGTGTCTGACAGAGAGTATCCTTGTGTGTAAATGTATGTCTCTGTGAGCATGTTTGCGTTTTTGTCTGAGACCCTATGTGTATGGGGTAGCTGCTTGAAGTCTGTATTGGGGGGGGAGGGGTGATGGTGAGAGGGAGAGGCGGGTGATAGTGTGAGGGAAAGGGAGGTGATGGTGAGAGGGAGGTGATGGTGAAAGGGGGTGATGGTAATGTGAGAGTGAAAGGTGGGATAATGTGAGAGGGAGGGGGTGATGT